TCCATTAAGAAATTCTCATTCTTCATTGAACGTTTTGAAAAATGACATGACACAAAACACCAAATCGTTAAAGCACACATGACGTCAACGTTCATCTTGGCAGATGCACTCGGACAGGTGAGCTAGAGCAATCAGAAGTTGTTCTGAACATTGGCATCCAGTGAGACCTGGACCGACGCCTCTGTAAATGCGAACTTCAGCTGAGTATATCGAACAGGTGGCAGTGGCCACACCTCTGCTACGGTTACTTCAGCTGCTCTGCTGCTATTATTGCGCAACACGGCTTGTGTTAGTAACGGAAGGCCGTAGGTAGCTGAGCTTCAGCCAACGTTGTTTATGCAGTACGAATAAGGCGTGTTAGAGTGCTCTCGACATTGTTGCGCAAGACGCTGTTCTCCGCAGGTCGACAGCTTGTGACTTGTGAAGACTCGCTCCAAGCGCTGTGCCGATTGATGAGCTACGTCAAGTTCGCTTTACCTCATGGCATCATACTGTGCTGTCACTCGATTCTTCTGCAAGTCATTGTGCAGATTCAAAATCTGGTGTCTATTGCAGTAGTGATGTAAAGCGGACGAGAATGAGCGTTTCCTTCAGTATGTCGGAGAATTGGATGTACGCAACATGCAGCCGGGCGTCCTCCTGCAGCCGTTGCGCAACTCGGCCGGACTCGCGTTGTTTCAAGTGTTAGATTTCACAGCTGTTTTGCAGTTCGGCATGCAACACACTATAACGACTGCGACGAGTAATTGGCGAGAAGGTAAACAAGTGCAACATGCGCTTTGGCAAGCCGATTTTCAGTCAGTGGTATAGAACCGATCTGATCGTGACAACGACGCCTACCGTGCGCCATAGTCGCCGTCACATTGCTATGGTGAACTCATAAGTCGCTATACGGCGTTAGCCATGCACTGATCACCGCCGACATACTTGTCATTGCACTGCAAGCAAAAGTTACGGAAAGAGATAAACCCCAAATGCGACACGATCGCTCACAACTACCTGAGGGACGAACTGTGATCAGAAGTTAAACCATTCATTCATAACGGTGAGAATTTGAGATGATCCGAAGAAAGTTTTGAACTGGCAGTGGTAACCACTTCGGCAAACACGGATGCTGAATATCTGACGTGACACAAATCAGCCAATCAATCAATCTCGATGACAGTTTATTCTTTTCGGCAGCGGAGGCAGACTGTCAGATAGTGCTTCCAACGTTACAGATCTTTTTCGAGAGTTTGAAATTCGGCAGAAGACAACCGGAGTCTGGAACAGATACATTTACACGAACAGATACAGTCGATACATTTACATGAAGTTAATCTTGGCCATCCTACGGGGTCGTCAGGCGTCGGTTAAAAAAGTAGTAGCTATTTCGCCTTCCTTTCTAAAAGCATTTGAAATACGTGTCCAAGACATCGCGTGTGTGGCTTTTCAATCTGGAGGAGCAGCGAGTAGTACACCAAGCTCTCTGATAC